CTCAGTCGCCGGCACCTCCAACGCAGCTCAGGGAGAGGCACCCAGGGGGGGAGATCGAGGTCGCCGCTGCGGACAGAGACTGACCAGACAGATGGACGGACAGGAGGAGCAAGAGTCTCTCAGGGCTTGGAGGGTCTGGACCAACGTGACTCTATGGCCAGATGAAAGGTCTCTAAACCTAGGAATTGCGCCCAGTAGTTTTCTAGTCTTCCCTTTCTGGCGGGGGGAGACACCAAAAGGAACGACACCGTAGAACACCTTTCTAAGTGTGTTCCCACTAAGGGTAATTAGGTGCTGCTGAAAAAATGATTTCATGGTGGAAGTGTGCGAAGCGCTGTGTGCAGAGTTCACCAGGACTCCAGACAGCGGGCTGTGCCCAGGAGCACGGCTCCCGAAGAGCCGTCTTGCACACAGCACCCCAAGGACCAGAGCGGGGAGCCTGTGTGGTGGGACACGCCTCAGAAGTCGTTTCCAGAAAAAGTGGGAAATGCTTCTCTATAAAAACATACCATGTTCCCAGCCCCCATGAAAACACCTGCACAACAAGGGCTCCTAAAGTCTCCCCAGGGCAGCGGCCGCCACTCCCACACGGTGGGCGCACGCAGCTCTTGTTCAGGCGGGTCCGTTCCCTGGGTTTGCCCAGGGAGACTGAGCACCTGTTCACACTCCACGCCCCTCCTTCCCTCCATGTACACATGGCTCTGTGCTGCTGTCCACACAGTTTTCTAATAGTTCTGTTGCTCTGGCCCACGTGAAAAATATGATCGGACAATAAAGCGAACTAGCAAAAATAAATGAAGCCAAGAGAGTGAAAATAAGAACAGAAATGATGAAATGGGGGAGATTCACAAAAATCCCTCTCTCTGGAAATGCTGCTGGAAGGATGGAAGGAAGCGGCAGGGGCCGGAGTGGAGGCCTCACACTCCAGGAGCAGCGGGCCGAGCGCCGGGCCAGAGGTCCTGGTGGGGCTGGAGCCTCCACTGGCCTCTCCCAGGGCACTGCCAGCTGCACGTCTGTCTGACTCATTTACCAACAGGACGGTTCCCAGGCGTTTCCCACACATAACAAGAGTCGACTGCACTGACCCTGGGCCCGAAGCCGGGCATGCTGTCTTCCCAACTCCACACGCGCTCCCTGGGGTGAGAGAGTTGGCAGACCCAGAGCTTTGCTGCCTTTGCAACCCAAGTAATTGAACAGACAATTCATACGGGGCCAGCTCTGATCCAGCTCAGGGCCCTGGGACTGGTGCTGGAGGCAGAGACGGGCGCAGAGGAAGCAAAAAGGTGCAGCTCGTCCTGGGTAGCCAGGCCCACGGCCCAGCAGCACCAGGTCCTGGGGAGGAAGGTCCTCCCGCCCAGGGCTGTGCCTTCGTGGCCACTGACGCCTGTTCCAGAAGCTGGTGAGAAAGCTGTGTGCAGGCAGGGTCAGCCCGACACTGACAACATAGCAGTTCCTTTCCCCGCCTTCCCAGCCAGTTCTCCCAATGCAGAGCATGGGATGAGGGTTAAAAACAAAACCCAGTCCCTGAGCTCCCAGTGATGACAAATATCTTGGTGACACGCGGGCTTACGAGGGGACCCGGCCTCGGTGCCCTGTGCCGCCCTCCCGGGCCCTCAGCACCCACCGGTCCCTTACCTGTAGGTCTGTGGTGACTGCCCAGAGCCTCCTGAAGGAACATTCGGTTTACTGTCGGCAAAGTGGAAGCCCTTCATCTCCATCTGAGAGGACTGCAGACCGGAAGCAAAGGTTGCTGGTTGGTGGCCGGGAGACAGCCTGGCCCTCGCTGAACCACCCTGCGCACAGCCGAGGGGGCCCAGGAAGACCCAGGAGGAGTTCTGGATAGAGAGGCAGCTTTTAAAGGAATCGAGGCTCGAGGTCTTATTCCCCTTTAAGGGGCTGAGCACCACCACGGGTGCTGCCTGGCCGTCTCTGCCCTGAGGAGGAACCCTCAGCAGAGCCGTGGGGTCTGGGCCCTGGGCTCCAGCCCCAGCCATCCTCTACCTGGGGCTCCAGGACCGGCACCCGAACTGGCCCCTCAGGTGCTCCCGTGCCCACACAGGGACTAGGCATGGACTGACACACCTCCTTCCCGCGTGGGCCACCTGAGCTCATCTCCACGGCCAGCTTGCACACTAACCAGGGGCACTGGCCATGGGAAGGCAAGAGGCTGCGCCCCAGACCCTGGCTGTCGTGCCACAGCAGTGGTGTCTGGCTGACCGGAGGGTTGGTGAGACCCTCCCAGGACCCCAGCAGGATGGAGTCGCGCTCACCTCTCTGCTGGTGTTGAGGACCGAAGGCTGGGACCCGGGCGGAAGAATTCTGCGAGGGGCCCCCACCGAGAGGCTCTGCCCCTGAGGCAGCTGGATGGACTGGGGCAGGAGCAGGGGCTGCTGTCCGGAGCCGTAGCGTGGCAAAGGCAGCTGGGAGCCGGGCAGTGGCATCGTCAGCTGCTGACAATAGGGGCAGTCAGGAAAGGGAGTGGTGGTGGGGGAGGAAGTCACGAACCACTGTTCACACTCACGCCCAAGAGCAAGCACACAGCAGACTCAGGTTATTTCAAGTCGCAGCGAGGCCTTCCTGCAGTGGGGAGACTCGCTTTCCCTCAGAGCCGCAGGGACCCCGGCCTTCACACTCGGCGGTGGGGGCAGGCCTGCCGCTGGCACAGTGGGTAGTGAGGAAGCAGCACGGGGCGAGGCGGCAGCAGCTGGCCAGTGCCACCCGGCGGGTGGGGCTCCTCTCCCGGTGCAAAGGGCGTGTGTGCTCCAGCCCTCCCCGCTCCCACCCAGCAAAGGCTTGCTGAACGCACACTGTGCGGGGAAGCGCCAGGACACTGTCAGACCCAGAGCCAGGAGGGAAGGGCGGTGCCATGCTGGACACAGCGCCGGTGCAAGAGTGCAGAGAGCGGGCAGCAGCCCGTGTGTGGTGTGTGTGCGTGTGTGTGTGCGCGTGTGCGCGTGTGCGGGGGGGTGGTGGGAGAAAAGCTAGGGAGGGCCAGAGAGGCTCGGGGGGGACGTCCATGTGGATCAGGTCCCAGGTGAGAGCAGCAAGGCCGGGAGGCTTCCTCGCCCGCTCCGTGCAGCACCGGGCCAGCCCGCCACTGCCTCCCTCTAAGGTCAGAGGACAAGGCTCGGTGTCAGGGTTCTTGGAACCGAACTGGAGCCTCCTGGAAGCTCTGAAGCACAAGCACGTTGTGAAAGAGAAGCAACTGCAAGGCCGAAGCGACCACTTTGAATGTCTGGGCCAGGGGGGCGAGAGGAGGGGCAGGGGGGCCACGCTGTCTCTCAGTTCCTTTCCTCTTCATCTCCCTGCTGGTGAGTCCACAGTGGAGGGTCAGAAGGATCTATTGGGATTGCATCACCGAGACACGTGGCAGCCAGAGCCTCTAGGACCCAGGCCCCGTCTGCGTACAACACCTGTTTTAAAGGGAGGGGGCGGGAGTTCCTGCAGAGGCCTGGGCAGGGAGGGGTGCAGAGACGAGGACCGGCTGGCCTCCGAATACTTTCCAGATGCAGAGCCGACAGACCTGCTGAAGGCCCAGAGGGGGTGATGCGGCCTGGACCACCTCAAGGACCAGGGAGAAAATCATATTTTGGACCCGATGTCTGAACAAGTTGGTTGAGATGCGGTGAGATATAGATATTGAAGCAGAGACGTGGGCAGCCAGTGGATGAGTTTAGGTCCAGAGACCAGGGAGAACGGGAAGCATCACCACTTCACCTCCAGCCCCACAGACGCGGGGGGGAGGGGCGAGAGGGGGCAACGACACAGAGGTGATGGGATCCCTCAGAAGGGGCTGAGCATGTGACCTGGTTCCAGCTACAGCAGCCAGTCAGCACACCGAGAGGCAGGCGAGGGAAAAGCAGTCGGGGGAGGGACTGGCTCCTGACCTGGGGGAGCTGGGAGTCCAGCATCTGGGAGGCACCCAGCCCGGCCGCCTGGCTGAGCTGGCCCTCGTAGACCAGGGCTTGGCTTCCGCTCATGGGCTGGTAGGGGGAGCCCGACGGGGGCTTCACGAGCTCCAAGGGCTGCATGCCGGGGAACGCCGAGTACGGAGGCTTCAGGGCGGTGCCTCCAGAGAGGATCATGGTGCTGGGCGGGGACAGGCTGGGGTGCATGTACACCTGCGACCTGCAAAAGCCAGACGATACCAGGGCAGGTGTGGGAGTGCCCGCATGAGAACCCAGCGAGCTTGCAAAAACTGCTGCCCCTACCCCTCGACGTTCAGAATAGCCCCCTGGATGGTGCCTATGTTGCTGGTCTAGGGATCACAGTTTGGGCATCACTGGATTAAACGAAGGGACAAACACACAAAACGCAGGAAACCCATGCGATGCCAAAAGCACTGGACGTGAGACAGCAAGGGCAGCTGGAGGCGTGGGCAGGGGCGTGGGGGCAGGCCCACAGCCCCGCGGGCACACAGTGAAGAACGAACTGTAAGGGACCACCACACCCTCACCCCAAGGAGAACACGGGAACAAGTGCGCAGGCTGCCAAGGCCTGAGCTCCGCCTGTGGGCCGCCAGCCCTCGCCCCCGTCTCACCTGAAGGGCTGCAAGGAGCTGAAGATCTCCTGTGACTGGGAGACGGGGAGCCCGCCCCGCAGCCCCAGCTGGGCTGACGCCTGCAGAGACGTGTGAAGGGAAATGGGGATCTGCTGGGCAGCGGCAGCCTGTGGGGAAGCCGGCAGGTCACTGCGGGGCCCTCCGAGCTGCTCTTCCCTTCCCCTCCGCACACGGCTGGAACCCGCCCCACGTGCCAGTCCCAGCACCTCCTTCCTGCGCTGTTGCTCTACGCGTCAGACACTCCCTAGCTCCACGCACTGAGGTGGCGCTCACGCGAGGGCGCGTGGACAACCACATACAGAACACATGCAGTATGACCCAGTTCCGTGAAGACCAACACCGTGCACGATGGCACAAGGTCATGTTTAAGAACACGTTTGAGGTCAGGACAGGCCGAGTCCTCTGCCCTCTGCCCGAATCTGCTCGGAGCAGCCCCTCCGCGGGGAGCCTGGTGCCAGTCTGCGCCCGCAAGGTCCGGCCCCGCGCCAGGTCCGACGTCCAGAAAGCATCCCCTGCAGCACGGAAACGATGCCGGTGCCGCATAAAAACGAACGCCTGCTCGTTCTAAAACTACCTCTTTCTAACGCATCCATGCCTGGGAGGCTAGGCCTTGCTGCTCTTCATCAGAAGGATACCTGATCACCAAAGAGAATTCCGTTTCAGCTAGCCCCGGCCAGGACCCAGAGAGAACTCGCAGGAAAACTACGCAGAGTCTGGAGCACTGAGCCCCACTTCTCGCCTCGTTTACTCGTCCCCACACACTGACTGGCTGCCGGACACGCAGGTGCGGGGCATGACTCGCGAGGGATTCAGAAAAAGAAGAAACATGGACTCTGACCCCGCCCCGCCCCCGCCACCCGGCCCGCGCCATCACCTGCTGGTAAGGCTGCTGCTGCGGGATGGTCTGAGGAACCAGCCGGGGCTGACTGGCAAACACGTGCCCATCCAGGTACAGAGGAGGCAGGTGGCTGCCTGCAGACAGAATCCACGGAGGCAGAACAGGATCAGGTCTCGCTGCTGCCGAGGACTCTCAGGGGACACGCTGTGCCCACCCTGCCCACACCCCTCGTGCCCACTGCATGCAGCTGCCTCGGTCTCTCAGCCAAGTTCCTCTTCATCTCCCTGCTATTGAGTCCACAGTGGAGGGTCAGAAGGATCTATTGGGATTCCATCACTGAGACCTCGGCAGCTGGCACCTCAAAATCCCCACCCTCCCCCTTTGGGCACCAACACCACGACCAGGACGCTGGTGGGAAGGACAACATGTCCATGACTGAGGATTCAGCTGATAGGCAAGCAATTCCAGGTATAGCCTCTGGTCGGCATGGCTACCCCATGGAGCGCCATCCTCGCCCGGGCTGGTTTTACAGAGCATGGACCGAGGCTCAGGGCTGAGCTGCTCACTGGCAGTGACCCCACCCCCATTAACCTGGATCCAACTCAAAGCCCATCTCAGCTCGCTCCTCCCTCAGGAGCCGGGACCATGAGCCTCAAGGAAGCAGAAGCCAGTGCAAGCCGTCTGCAGCGTGGGAAGCTGGGATCGCCCAGCCTAGTGGCAGCCCGACTCCCACTTGCACAGACTCCCGCAGTCATGGTCGGTGGGTTCAGGGCTGCCAGCCCCACGCGTCTGTCGGAGTGCACGAGGCGGCTCAGGCCGATACCTGGGAGAGAAGGCGCTACGGAGGCCACAGGCATGGGCGGCATGGAGACGCCGCCGAAGGAGCTGTAGTTGGCCCCACTGGAGGCTCCCACAGAGGACGGGGGCTGGATGCCCGAGCCAGGGCCTCCCGGAGAGCTCTGCTCCGGCAAGCTGGGCGAGTTTTCCCAAGCCTTCCGCGCAGACTCCATCTGTGGAAGCAAGGGAAGGAGAGGGATGAACACGACCAGGGAGAGGCAGTGGCAGTGGGTGGGGCTGCCCGCTCCCACCTCCTCACAAGCCAGGGCCCCGCGTGGGCCTTGCTGCGATCAGGACTGGTGTTACCTTCAGAGTGAGGTCGGCCGTGGGGAAGGACATCTGGGAGAGGCCGATGGCCCTCTGGATGTGGTGATCTCGCCGCAGGATGGGAATGCTCTGTGTCAGCCCAGCCTGGAGGAGACAGGAAGCCATGGGACAACCAGGCAGAGGAAGGGAGACGTGTCAAAATGCCCTTCAGAGGTGGTCGTGTGCACCTAAGGCCGCAAGATGAAGCTGCCAGCAGCTGAGACCAGTTTATCTTCTCCAAAGAGCTGCCTTTGTGGCTTCCCTTGACAGAGGCCCAGGAGAGCCCCCACACCCCCCAGAGCCCTCTAGCAGGGATGGGCATGTGCCAGCAACGTAACGACTGGCTGCCGGCATGCAGGCGTGGAGACCTCCAGGAGGCTGAGGACCAGGTGGCTGTGACAGAGGCTCAGCGATGCCTGCTGGCCACTCCTGCTGCGCTGGGCGGTGCCCTCAGCATGCTGTGGGCCCCGGGAGCTCAGTCCGAAGCGTGGTTCACCCAGCATCTCAAACATGACCACGGAACTTGGAAGAACAGAGAATCGAAGCATGCTACCCAAACCAGACCTTGGGAAACACACTGCCCCATTTTAAGGTCACAAAACTGGGTGGAGAACATTCAAATAACTAGTGGAAGATAGTAAGCAGCTAGAAATTATGTCATGACTCAAACCCAGGTCTGCCTGACCCCACGGCCGAGCAGCGCGGGGCCAGGGCTGGCAAGGAAGCACACTCACGTTACTAGCCAGGGCGTCCTGGAGCTTCACCACTGGATTCCCCGCGGGGCCAGGGGCAGACCCCGGCGGCAAGCTGAAGTCGGAGTCCTGGAAAAAGGGGACAGAGACCAGGAGATCCTGGCTCACCTTGCGGCAGAGACATGTCTCAGCGCCTCTAAAAACCCACCACGCAAGCAACATGGCCGCATGCTCCCCAACGGCACAGGAGGGAAGGGTGCTGCCTCTCATCCTCGCTCCTGCTGTGCCCACTGCCCCACCCGACAGAGACCATGAAGACTGCCGCCCGCTCAGCCTGAGAACCGGCTGGCTTCAGCAGGGCATCTAGGGGGCAGCCCACTAGCACCTCCGTCCACGCTCACCCGCACGCTCCCCGGTGCCGCTCAGCTCACCCCCTGCTCCTTCTAGGAGACAACCTGTCTAAGCCCTCCTTCCCCTCCAAGTACAAAAAAAATGAAGGAGAAAGGAAAGAAACCAAAGCCTCACTTTTGGACTGACTCCAAATTCGATGGGCGGCACCGGGAGCACGGAGTCCACGTGAATCTCCACCCCGTTGACCGGTGGGACGGCGGCGCCCGGCAGGCGCTCGGCCGCCTCGGAGCCCTTTCTGTTCTTCAGGGAGCGCTCGTTGCCGATGGGTCCTGGTCTGTGCTCCTTGCTCTGTGCTGAGCCTTGTTCCGAATCCTTGATGGGAAAGCAGAGCAGCTGAAACACAGACTAGATGACCTTCTACGCACGGGAATCGGGCAGAAGACGAGACAACGAGCCCTTCTGCCCAGGCCCGGCTCTGCAAGAGGGACTCCAGGTTACCTTTTGCTCGGGTTGCTTCTGAGCCGGCTCCTTATGGCCGTCAGCCTTGGGCTCCAGGTTGGACCCGCTCATCTCCTCTGGTTTCAGAGTGCCATAGGGCGAGCTGCGCTGCGACGAGGTCGCAGACGACTCCCGAGACTCGGCGCTCAAGTCCACACCACTGTCTCCCTGGCTGCTCTTAAAGCCCTGCTGTGCAAGGCACCAAACGGGTTAGAGCCCTGACCCCCAGGCTCCCCACGCTGCCTGCCTGTGTGCAGTCTTGTCCCGCGATGGGACCTGACCCAACAGCTACAGGGATGTGGCCAAAGGCACCCCTGCCCGAACCTCCAGACCCCCACCTCCAGTGGGCCCTCGGCCAGGACGGTCACACGCATCTCTCTTGTGACCCAAACCAAACGGAGTGACCACCGCTCCCGGTTTGAAGGAGAGCCCCGACTGCTCCCCTACAAGGGGTGGGTAACCCCCTTTCTTCCTCCCTCTCACACAGGCACCTCCCGGAGGTCAGAAACGAGGCTGTAGTCCAGCCACCAGCCGGGGCCGGAGGAAATGGCCTCTGGTCCAGGGTTAACCACTGCGGCTGAGGGAGGGCGTGGGCCGCAGGTCGGAGAAGCCCAGGCCAGGCAGCCACGCGGGCGGCCGGCACCCCCGGCCTGTGAGCACACAGCGCACTCACCTCGGCGGAGCCGGGCTCGGAGCTGTTGAAGGCCGTGGCGGCTTTGGTCCAGGAGTCGCTGGTTGAGGCCTGAACGGGCAGGGCTGCCGGAGGAGGAAGCAGAGAATCAGGGCATCAGAAAGGAGCAGGAGGCTGCCAAGGCGAGCACAGGCATGGCGTACGCAAACCCAGGTCCTTGCGGCCCTCGCGCCCCCGCCCACACGCCAGGGAGCAGCTGATACTGGGGAGCTGGTCTGAGCGTCACCCCCTGCCCAGCAGCCTCAGGCAGACTTCACTCAGGCCAACTATTTGTTTCTACCAGTGGGAGCTGCTGCCAGTCCCGCAAGGCCCACGCCGCCACCGAGACGCCAACAGCAGCCATGGCCCCGTGCCTGCCACACGACTTCACGTGTGACCTTCAGATCGCCCGGACCGCGGTCTGACGACAGAAGCCCGCTCCGGGCTCCGGGACAGGTGTCCCCGGACTTGCTCACTATGACGCACCTGTCACACACCACCCACTGTCTGACATCAGTATTTCCGAGAGGCCGGGCTCTTGCCATCAGAGCCGAGTCCTTCCCAGCCTCGTTCTGCAAAGGGACAGGCCACGCGGCACAACTGCAAGTCCAGGCCCCAGCCCAGGATCCCTGAGGGCGAGTCCTCACCCTGAAAGCCTGGGCTGTGCTGTGTCACACAACTGGCTGTGGGTGACTTCTCCACGCTCCCCGGGGAGGGCTACGTGCCTTGTTCTGTGTTCCCTGCAGGATGGTAGAGGCCATCCTGTCCAAAGTGGGCATTCAAGAGGAACTGGTTCCATTAAGATCAGTGGTTCTCAACCTTGGCTACACATTAGAATCACCTGGGAATCTTAAAAATCCTGATTTCTGGGCCTCATCCTCCGGAAATTCTGTTTATTTGTTACTAATGTTGTGGCCCCACCCCATAACAAAGACACAGAATTTCCGGAGGATGAGGCCCAGAAATCAGGATTTTAAAAAGATTCCCAGGTGATTCTAATGGGCAGCCAAGTTTGAGAACCACTGATTAAGATGGTTTTATGTTTTTAAAGTTATTAGAAAAAGAGCGTTGAATATAGATTTTTTTAAAAGTTCAGGGGAACAAATTTTCTAAAGAGCAAGGTCCACCAGTCAGAGAGCCTCGGGGGCTGACAGAGCCCTCCTCCCGGGCTGGGAAAGGCCAGTGCACAGGTCACAAAGCCCCGGCCCTGGCGCCCCTCCTGGCAGCTATTCCTCGCTCCTCTACACCTAATAGGAAAGGTAAGTGCCGTGGGCAAAGGGAGCCAGGTCGGCTCGAGTGCCCGGCGACGGGGGCGGGGCCAACCCGTCTCCAGGTCTCCAGACTCAGGGAACGCTTTGCTCTTCCAGCAACTGCCAGGCAGGGAAAGTCTACACCTGCTCCGGGGCGACAGCCACCCATGGGCTAAGGTGGGGCTAACACCGGAGCAGGTTACGCCCCGCCCACATTCCCAGTCCTGAAAGCAGATGTTCCCTAAAAAGAGAACAGTCAGGAGCTAAGCATCTAGGCCCAGGCACCCCAGCTCTTACCCTGGCCACTGCTCTCCCAGATCTCGGTGCCCAGGCTGCTGCCCGGCACGGGCACATCGCCTTGCTCCAGGCCCAAGTTGTTCTGCTTTTTCGCAAACCGAGGAGGAATGCGGGAGGCAAGGCCCCGACCTTTGACAGGCACCTAAGGAAAGAAAGGTGGTAGAGGCCATGCAAAAGGTCCGGCACGTGACATTCTCCCAGCAAACGTCTCTGGGGGCATCAGAACCAAGAGAACTCGCCCCAGCGGTGCTGGGACGCTCGTCTCTCAAGACCTCAACCACGAGTGAGTGTTAATGCCACGCCTGGCAAGGGCTCACAGCCAGTGACTGCGATGAATCAGACAACAGGACAGTGTGCACTGCCCCACGGGCGCCATGTGAGCACAGGATCCCATGGGCACAGGGGGAGGAGGCCATCTGTACCGCGGCCGCTGGGCTCCAGCTGCTGTCACCGGATAGTCCCTCTTTGAGAACAGGGAAGGGGTCATCCACTGCGGGCGGTGTTTGAGGTACACTCCTCCCTCCTCCCTCCCATCCTGGGCTCCATTCAGAACTCCGGAGCCTCCTGGCTGTGGTTCCCCGCACCGCTGGCGCCACCCGCCACCCGCCACCCTACTCCTCCTCCCTCGCGCTCCTCACCTGCGCAGCTTGCTCCTTCTTCCTCCTCTCCTCCTCCAGCAGGCGGCGCTGCTTCTTGGTCAGGATTTCGATGAAGCCTTCGCCCACCATGGAGCCCACCTCTGTCTCCTCCCCGGGGCTGGCCCCACAGTTCTCGAGGATGGAACCTGAACCAAGAGTTCACGGGAAGGGATGGTGTTCCACTCATCGGAAGCCAAGAAGAACCCAGCCCCACAGGCACCTGACATCTTGGGGCAGCTCAGCTCCAAAGGCCGGGCAGTGCCTGGCTGGTACCTCCCAGGAGCCGTGGAGCTCACCGTGTCTACAGAATGAGCTGGGATTCCACACCCTCTCACGCGCCCTAACAAACCGTCAACGCAAACCCAAGAGCCCCAAGTGACACTACGGCCCGGAAAAGTCTCTGGAAATAGAGACACCAGTCCCAGCTCTGCTCCCAATTAGCCATGTGGCCCTGGGACAGCCACTCAGCCTCTGGGCCTCGGGTTCCCATCTTTACAATAGGGGGTGGGGGCGTGCACTGTAGGGCAGTTAAGGGGTTTGGCAAACTGTGAGAAACACCAGTGCAGGGGTCGCACCTGTTTTGCCCATCTCTGTGTCCCGGAACAAGGCCCAGGGCCTCCCTCCGAGGGTCAGACACAGTGAGAGGGCAGACTTGGCAGCCTGCAGGGCGAGGCCCCATTTCCCCCCGCTCGGCTCCCTCCCCCGAAGATGCGAGGCAACAGACTCACTTCCATAGTTCAGGTCGAACTGCTTCATCGCCTCCCCCTGCTCGCCCACCCTCTGAGCAGCCAGGGTGGCCTCCTCTGCCTTCTCACAGGCGGCTTCGGGGACGTCAGCGGTGGCATGGGCAGCCCGCTCCAGGGCGTAGTGACTGCTGTGGCCTGGCAAGGCCTCGTCGGGGGTCCTGGAAGGGAAGGGGACCTCGTTAGCTCAGAAGCGACTGCGGCTGGGGAAGGAACGGGAAAACCACCTAAGCACACAGCACACACCATGGAAGCCACTCCCGGCAGCAGTGCGTCCCGGGCAGACCACGGGGCGGCCCCTGCCAGGGCTCAGTACTCTGCCTTCCCACTGTGAGCCAAGCTCGACAGGACTCCACAAAGGACAGAGCTGCAGGGTGCCCTCCTGTCACAACACTGACCAGCAGACGCCCTGGCCGCGGCCACCACCAGGCCTTGGGGCAGAAGTCAGAGGCAAAGCCAGGCCTCAGCACCTGAGTCCTGGGAAGCTAGACTCACGGACACCCCAAGAATCCGCACGCCCTGTGCTCCCTTTCGGGGAAGTCACCCCAGGCTCTGCCCCGAATCTGAGCAGGGGCAAGTGGGAGCAACTCCGCATGCTCAGGTCCCTTTCCTGATCCTGGGCAGCCCGCGGGCACTGAGCTGGGGCATCCGTATCACAGCCTCCCATCCCAGGCCAGCCGCTCACAGGCCTCAGGCTGCCCATTCCCTGCGCTACTGCCTGTCTTATCATGCACAGTGGCAGTGCCCAAAGGTCCCAGACCATCTTGCTGTTGGGAGGAGCCGCCTCGGGGAGGCACCTGGCTGCGGTGGCCCCACAGGGGAATCCCAAGGCCACGTAAGGGACAGGTGCCACATAAGAGGACCACTGGGGCGGGGACTCTGGTTTTGGTTTTAGTTTTCAAGCCACAACAACAAAACGCCACAGGAAGCAGACAAACGGTGCAGGGGCGAGCAAGGGAGACGCTCACACACCAGGGCTGCGGCAGCCCCTCGGGTGCGGGGCGGCCCGACACACGGCGGGACACGCATGCATGGAGCGCCGCTCGCAACACCGGCTCGATCACAGAACAAGCAACAAAAGGACCCGGATTTTGTTTTGTTTTACCTTTTGGCTTTCAAAGGCGTCCCACTCTGCTGGCTCTCATAATGGGGAGAGGTGTCACCACCGCCTGGCCTAACAGCCTTCTCCCCAAACCCTCCCAGCTCCAGCTTCCGGCTCTGCCGGTCCACCAGGGGTCTCTGGCTGGAGAAGCTCCGCTTGGCCAGCTCCTTCTTCTCCCCGAGGCTGGCCCCGGGCAGGCTGCCGTCCACGTGGGAGCCGGGCTCAGGCCC